TACGTTCTCTGCAGATCCCGTCGTCGCTTCGGCAGTGGTCCCGAGTGACCTCTCTCATGGCTCACTAGGCCTGCCTGACTAAGGCACTCGCGACCGCATGTTCTACAGCACAATGCGCTCGATGTCGATGGAGTACAATTCATTGGTGCTTGCCGCTTCCGCAACTGCCGCTTCTTCTCTGCATGCATGAGGGCTTTCTCCCGCACTTCAGCGACTGCCTTCGTGATTAGATCGCGCCATGCACGCCGATCAAGCGCCTTCGATTCCCATGACCTGCAATCAAGATTAGAACGTGAGGCTCACTTTAATCATGTCCTGGTAACGTAACTTTGGTTTCCCAGCATGCCGCTTCCCTATACTCAGCTGACCGTATACAAGTTGTTTCGGTATCCGCGTCGAATCCATACGGCTCACATGACCGAGCCATCTCAGGTGTCGCAGTAAAAGTATACAGTCCCCTGCATACATCCCACTTCGGCGCAACACTTCCGTGTCTGCAACTCTGGCGCCCCAGCCGATCCGCAAAATTCGTCGCAGACACTGCTGATGGAACCGCTCGAGATATCGCACATCCCGCCGGTATATCGTCCACGTTTCACTGCCGTATAGAAGAACGGACAGTACCATGGATTTGTACACCATCAGCTTCGTGCCAATGCTAAGCTGATGGTTGTTCCACACACGGTACTCAAGCTTCCCGAATGCCGCTGCCGCCTTCGACACGCGATTACGCAACTTAACGTGTAGCTTCTGATCAGTCGACATCACACTCCCAAGGTAGCAGAAGCGGGAGGTTGTTTCCAATATTTCAGCACCAATGCTGATTTACGGCAATCTTGAAGATTGCACCTCCGGTGAAGGCTGAAAGAGACAGACAGTTTTGCTTGTGTTGATGGTGAGCCCGAATTTGGCCGCTGTCGAAGCCAGAGCACTAGTCATGTGCTGCAACTCATCCGCGCTGTGTGAAAACAACGCACAGTCGTCAGCAAACAGCAACATACGGATAGTTGTCTCACAGACTAGAGTTCTCGCACCGAAACGACGGATGTTCAGCAACCCACCATCAATACGGTGCTCCACACGAACACCGTAAGCACAAGCCGCATCAAAAGCACAAGACAACATTGCATGAAGATAGATATTAAACAGGGCAGGAGCTAAGACACAGCCTTGCTTTACACCAGAGACAACTGCAAAGGCATCAGAGGTCTCTACACTCAGCTGCACCCTCGCTCGCATACCACTGTGCAGACATTCAATTAAACTTACAAACTTACGCGGGCAACCAAACTTACCCAACATCAGCCACAATGCCTCGCGGTTCACCGTATCAAATGCCTTGGTGAAATCAACAAAAAGCGAGTACAATGGCTGGTGTCGTTCTCTGCACTTCTCCTGCAACTGACGAGCCGCAAACACCATATCTATAGTGCTGCGACCCGAACGGAGTCCACATTGCTCTTCCGCCACGTTTGGTTCCACAATCTGACTCACGAGGCGATTGAGCAGGATTCGGGCAATCACCTTGCCCACACAACTCAGCAAGTTGATGCCACGATAATTCGTGCAACATTGCTTGCTACCTTTGCCCTTGTACAGTGGTAGCACAAGGGCATCCTTCAGCTCAGCAGGCACCTCCTCCTCAATCCACACGCGTTGCACCAAGTGGTGCAGCGCAGTCAACAACGCGAGTCCACCGTGTTTCAATACTTCAGGTGGGATCCCGTCACCTCCGGCACATTTGCCGTTTCGCAGCTGAGCAAGTGCTCTCTGTGTCTCATCCAGTCTCGGCGTATCCGCCAGATCCGCCTTCACATCGTGCTGCTTCAGGCCGTTCAATGTAGGCCAGTCGATCTCTGAACGGTTGTTCAAGAGACAGTCAAAGTGTTTCCGCCAGACCTGCATTATGTCTGCAGTCTGGGTGCAGGTAGCGCCTGAACTACCATCGATCAGTGTCCTCAGCGGCTCCAATCTCGGTCCATACACCGCCTTCAAGGAGTCAAAGAATTCCTTGTGTTGACGGCGTTCGGCGTAGCATTCCATCTGCTTCGCCTTCTCCGTCCACCATGCATTTTTAATGCGACGGAGCTCTCGGGTCAGTCGCCGTCGAAGTTTGCGAAACTGACTACTCTTCCCCAAGTCACTGGGATCTGCCACATGTGCAGCAAATGCTGCATTCTTCTCTGACACCAATGCGTCAATCGTCACATTGTTGTCATCAAACCAATCAGGCCGCTTACAGTTTGCGCGCCCGATGGTCTCCTCCGCAGCAGCTGTCACCTGGTCGCGAGTGTGGTGCCACAGGTCGCCCACTGTGGCTATACAGTCCACATCACCACACAGGCGTGCAGCCATCGCCTTCTCCAGCTCAGTACGTTTCGCCACAGTACCGAGGGAGAGAATGTTAAATTTACGCCGATTCACGGCGGGAGTGCAATACATCGATTTACGAAAATATATGTACAGTTTGGTCCGAACCAATTTGTGATCAGTGCCACACTCAGCTCCACGCAGTACACGTGTCATGCGCACTTCACGCATATCACGCTGACGTACGATGACATAGTCGAGCAGGTGAGCGTGACCACTCCGTGGGTGCGTCCAAGTTGCTATATCATTCGCACTCAGTGCAAACCGAGTGTTCGTGATCGTCAGGCCGTGAGTGGCACACAGTGAGAGCAGCCTGTGACCGTTCGCATTCGCTGAACCAATGCCATGCACACCGAAAACATCTGTCCACGCTGATGCATCACGCCCAACGCGCGCGTTGAAATCACCCAGCAGAAATAGTCCGTCGCTCCTCGGCACAGACCGTATCACGGAGGATAGCTCAGTGTAGAACTGATCACGCGTGTCATCAGGATAACGCATGGTCGGACCGTACGTGCTTATAAAAGTGGCAAACTTACCTCTTCCGAGTCGTAGGCGAACAGTCATCAGTCGCGCGCTGATGCCCGTTGGTTCACCCACCAGCTGGCCATTCAGGCGATCGGATATTGCAAATCCGACCCCATGTTCACGTGGTGCTGAGGCGGCGTTCCCCACCCAGTAGAATGTGTAGCCAGCACCTGCTTCATGTAACTTACCTTGCTCAGCGAGCCGAGTTTCACTGAGCGCTGCAATATCGATGTGGTAGCGCGCCAGCTCCATTGCGACCAGTGCAGTGCGTCGCTCCGGGCGCTCGCTGGAGTTCCGGTCCAGTAGTGTGCGCACGTTCCAGCACTCGATGCTGAGTGCTTTGCGCGAAGGCATACGATTGCATTGGTGGGCAATCGCACGCGAGCTGGCGGTTGTGCTTCGGAGGTTTGCTTGAGAGACTCCACCCGGAGCCTTTGGCTCAATAGCCTGACGCACAAGGCAGTGCGTGGTTTGGAGGTTTGCTTGAGGGACTCCGCCCGGAGCCTTTGACACAATAGCCTGACCCACAAGGCAGTGGTGAGCAGATCCAGCTCGGGAATGTGATTGCAGAGACAGATGGGGATCTGCTTGACGGCCGTCACACGCAGCCTTTGAGGTTCTGGAACAACTATCATATGTTTTGCGACCGTAGTAGGGTACGCACCTGCTACCACGGCCAGACACAGGTGGGATTTGGCGGGTTTGCACCAATTTGACCAGGGGCTGTCTGGTTTGAGGCGGGCAGTAGCAAACCATTGAACACCCGGAGGTGTCCTCCCCCCGTCAGAGACAATGAGTGGCACTCGTGCTCTACGCCAACCAAGCATTGAGAATATAACCCGTAAACCTGTTGTCTCCCATGGCTAGGTTTTACGGGAAGTGGGCCATCGACCACTACCTAACCTCCGGAGAGGATGGACTAAGATACTGCCAGGGCGCCCAATCCTGACAGGAGAACGACTCGGGTCCTCAGCCAAAGCCTTCGATTAAATGAACACCCGAAAGGCAGCGGGTCTAGGACACCAATCCGCATACATACATGGTTGGCGGCATCTGGTTTCGGATTTGCCTGTCACTGTGGCCAGCCACAGGACGCCTGCGCCTACAGAGGGACCATGGATGGCTTGCGTTGCACCACCCACAGCTCCAACCACACACCCCATATCCAGTGTAAACCCGAAGGAATAAGACCGGGATGCATGTGGATGGGAACCACGTTTCATCAACGGAGCCGGCCCACACTCCTTCACAGGCAAACACAAGCACGCTGTATTTGGGGAATCAAGCGCACACAAGGCGGTGGTTGGACCGTAGTCCGCTCCACACTGACTGCATGGAACCGCTCTTCGAGCCTAGCACGACCACAAGGACCGTGCACCCCGTCCCCTCCAGCAACGACCAACTGTCTCCTGGAGCCAGTATGGACGAGGTAGTGGGTAATAGACAGGTAGGCACCTTGTCAACATACACATCAAGCGCAACCACACCGGGGATATCAAACAACAGCCATTCACTTTAAACGACAAGTTGAAATAAAATAAATCCAACAATGCATACAGATACGGTGGCATAACTCTTCGCTAATTTACCATATGAAGTAAGTGCGCTAACAACAAATCCGTGATAAGTAAGAAATGTCCACAAGTTACTTAAAAATGCTACAAAACGCAACAAAATTACCGAAGATAAGCGCAATTAGTGTAAGCAACGTGGCCAGTTAATAGAACATTATTCAGGGAGGCAGAACAAACCAAATAAAGCGGAATGAAATTTATCCAGCTTAAAAAGACCTAGTTTAAGTGTAAGTTGGTTTAGCCCAACTGCGGTGAAGAAGCATCAAGAATGCAACATCAGCCTCAGCATGGGGCACACATACATACATGGTTGGCGGCATCCGGTTTCGGATTTGCCTGTCACTGTGGAAAGCCACAGGACGCCTGCGCCTACAAAGGGGACCATGGGTGGCTTGCGCTGCACCACCCATAGTTCCACCCACACACCCCATATCCAGTGTAAACCCGAAGGAATAAGACCGGGAGGCATGCGGATGGGAGCCACGTTTCATCAACGGAGCCGGCCCACACTCCTTCAACAAGCAGATCGGAAGCATTCCGGCCTAATTGGGAAACCATACACACCAGACGTACACGAGGCGGTGGCTGGACCGTAGCCCGTTCCACACAGATTGCATGGAACCACTCTTTGAGCCTAGCACCGTCACAAGGACGGTGCACTCCGTCCCCTCCAGCGACGACCAACTGTCTCCTGGAGCCAGTATGGACGAGGTAGTGGGTAATAGACAGGTAGGCACCTTGTCAACATTCACATCAGGCGCATCCGCACAGGGGAACTCAAGCAACATCTACTTCTGAAATGCAAGATTACTCATCACGCAGGCAAACGTACCACATACGCCGCCTTATTGGCCTGGATTAGTAAATTGAATGGGAACATACTCATGGTGCTTCTATTCCGCATACAATTGTGCCTTCTCCGGCACCTGAGAAACCGCCCTTTTGAGCAGTTCACGGAATTCGCATCGATCAAATTTGCCTTGGATTCGCAACACCTGAAATCAACATGAGTTTGTCATAAACTCATCTTCTTCATGTTCTGGTAATAGTATTTTCGGTTTGCTCGAATGTCGTTCTACTGCACTAAGTTAACCGTACAAAAGCGGTATGAAGATCCTCGTGGAATTCATTCGGTATACATATATACATAGATTGCCGTCATCTGTATCCAATGGCAGTTCGAATGCAACATATGCACATGTGTTTCCACGGACTTCATTATTAACTGTCACAAAACTGGACAGAGACACATTAGTCCGCATGAACAAGCATGTATGAACAAACATGTATGGGTTTCATTTGGAGGTCAGGCTAAGGGTTACTTGCACAGACATGAGATTAAGTACCCAATACGTACTGTTGGTGTTCGCCTCTTACGGCTTATTTGGCACGACAACTACCATAGTACTACAACAACTAAGTCCCACTGGCCACTGTCAAACTTGCGGTTTTCCAAACAATGTTCGCCCGGTGTTGCAAATATCCGAGATGTAGCATGGTTGTCATCCAAGTACTCATCCGTTTATACATACCGTTGTGTATCCTGTTGTGGCTATAAACTACTTGGTTACGATCTACTTTAGTACGCCTGGGGTGCAACTATTCGGTGCTCGTAAAGTGAACAAATGTTCCCTATGCGCTGATTCCTTTCCGATGTAATTTACTAAGACACTTACGTACCATTTCCGTTGACATTACCTTTTTCTTAGTCTACCCAGAAGATTGACCCCGTCTAAGACAACTTCTAGTAGGTGCCTCTTAGACAGATGCAATAATGCTACTGCGTTGCACCAAGTCCCTACTTCATCATTCCAAATAGCAATTGCACCCAAGCTATACTGACATTAGCAATGGAATAAGGATGACACACAAGGATGATAGACCGTGTGAGTAGGCAACTATGAAGGTTTGTAGGGAAATGGTGCGCTGAAGTCAACTTATTTTCATAAGCTCAGCTAAGATAAGGTTGTCAGATGAAGAACGGGAATTATTGCTCTAATCATTCTAACAGAGTTAATGTGAAACCTAGCATAACACATCAACAGCAGCATGTTAATCGCTAGTCAATTACTTACCGGGACTGTTCACTTTCCACGGATGTTCCAGAGCGATTGATATTTGAATGCATGATCCAACTTGAACATGTCTATCGCATTGCCAATTTGCCACCAAATCGAGGAAGCATTGCTTTTCCATACTGTATTAGGTAAAGGGTTCCTAGGCTATGGTAATGGTAAGGTACGGTAAAATAAGGTAACATGTTATAAGTAAGTAAGTAAGTAAGTCAGTGTAGCCCAACTGCGATAAAGAAGTATGGTGTATGCAACATCAAACCTCAGCATAGGGGCATTCGTATAGAGGCATCTGTGTTCGGATTACCAGTATGGTAAATATAGTACGCGCCTGTGTCTTTGCAGAAACTATGCGTGGTTGTCATTGCACTGCAACAGTTGGTGAATTAGTACATTATCAGTGCAAAAATCCTCCCCGTGTGATTCCATTCTGACTCACCTCGCTTCATCCCGTTTGGCCGGTTTAACATGTACCGTCCTTTCTCAGTTGCGTACCACCAAGTGTCACATGTCAGTCCGTGATGCTCGATCTAACAATCCACCTGTTCGGCATAACCCCATCGTGGCCTCGTTGATGACTGGCCAGACCAGCTGGGCTAAAACACACACGGCCACATGCACTACAGCTCCATGTTGGAGTAGCCGAAGAATTGAAGTCCGACGGCAGATGATGTTTGCGTGCTGCACGTTTAATTTCTCGATGCACCATCTGCCTTTCTTGCGATTGGGCAACGGTACAGGTGATGAGATCACGCCAGATGCGGCGATTTGTTGCCAACTCCTCCCAAATATTTAGGTCAATACCTAATCTGGACAAACTAACCTTGATATTATCTTGGTAACGCAACTTGGGTTTGCCAGCATTCCGGCCACCTGCGATCAGTTGTCCGTACAGCAATTGCTTCGGGATTCTCGTTGCATCCATACGGCGCACATGTCCAAGCCACCGGAGATGTCGCAGCAGTAGCATGTAGTCTATGGTGTACACTTCGCTCCGGCGGATCACATCAGTGTCTGGCACATTGTCCCACCATTGTATGCGCAGAATCCGGCGAAGGCACTGTTGATGGAATCGTTCCAAAAACCGGATATCCTTTCTGTACAGTGTCCAAGTTTCCGATCCATAGATAAGGACTGAGAGAACCATTGATTTGTACACCATCACCTTGGTTCTAACAGTGAGATGATGGTTCTTCCACACGCGATGTTCCAGTTTCCCAAAAGCCGCACTTGCCTTCGCCACACGAGCGCGCAGTTCGTTGGTGATTCGTAGGTCGCTAGACAATGTACTCCCAAGGTAGCAGAAGGCGGACGTGTTCTGTAGTACTACATCTACAATCCGTATTTCTGGTCCGCACACGGGCTGCACTCCCGGTGCCGGCTGAAATAGACATACAGTCTTGCCTGTGTTTATGCTGAGTCCAAACTTAGTCGCTGTGGAAGCTAAGATTGTCGTCATGCATTGCAGTTCTTCCTCAGTATGTGCAAATAACGCGCAGTCGTCTGCAAACAGTAGCATACGAATGGTTGTCTCACGCACTAAACTTCTTGATCCAAAGCGGCGGATGTTAAGCAAACCCCCATCCATGCGGTGCTCTAGATGCACACCGTATTCGCATGTGTTGAATGCGCACGACATCACAGCCGTCAGGTAGATATTGAACAGTGTGGGGGCTAAGACGCATCCTTGCTTCACACCGGAGATAACGGCCAAGTCATCTGTAGTCTGTCCACTTAGCTGCACCCTTGCTCGCATGCCAGTATGCAGGCATTCAATGAGACGAATAAACTTTGCAGGGCATCCAAACTTGGAGAGAATCAACCACAACGCCTCACGGTTCACCGTATCGAACGCTTTGGTGAAGTCGATGAACAATGAATACAACGGTTGATTGCATTCACGACATTTTTCCTGTAGTTGACGTGCTGCAAAAACCATGTCGATGGTGCTACGGCCCGAGCGGAATCCACATTGCTCCTCAGGTACATTCGGTTCTAGTATATGTGTGACAAGGCGATTGAGTAGGATACGGGCAAAAATCTTGCCAACGCAACTAAGTAAGTTGATGCCACGATAATTGTCGGTGTGTTGTTTACTACCCTTTCCCTTGTACAGTGGAATCACAAGAGCATCCTTCAACTCTGCGGGCACTTGCTCTTCCATCCAGACGGCTTCCACCAAACGATGCAGGGCACGTATCATAACTGGTCCTCCGTTCTTCAATATTTCCGGTGGTATGCCATCAACACCAGCGCATTTCCCATTCCGTAGTTGAGCAAGCGCTCTCTGTGTTTCGTACATTCCCGGTGTCTCCTCCAGTTGCGATAGTACGCTATGGTGTTGCAGCCCGTGTAGTGTGTCCCAGTCTACCTCTGATCGATTGTTCAGGAGCGTATCAAAGTGTCTGTGCCACATTTGCAAGATGTCATCAGATTGTGTATACACGGCGCCAGTCTCAGAGTCTTTCAGGGTCTTCATTTGCTGCACAGTGGGCCCGTACACTGCCTTCAAGGAGTCGTAGAATTCTTTTTGTTGACGGTGTTCAGCGTAGGACTCCATCTGCGCAGCTTGCATTGTCCACCACGTATTTTTCACCTGACGCAGCTCTCCAGCTAGCTGTCTTCGAATGTGGCGGAAAGCATTACTCTTCATGGTGTTGTTAGGGTCAACCTCGGATGCGATGAATGCTGCGTTTTTTGCTCGTACTAATGGCCCAATCGTCAAACTGTTTTCGTCGAACCAGTCGGGCCGTTTACAATTTGTACACCCAATCGTCTCCTCCGTAGCAATGGTCACCTGTTTCTTCAAGTGGTCCCATAGGACGCTGACAGAAGCCGAGGAGTCGTCTTCGCCAAGGCGAGTTGTTATGGCATCCTCCAGTGCTTGTCTCTTTTCTGCACTCATAAGGGCGCGTACGTTGTATTTCCTCCGATTGCTATTCGCTGGAAAGTACGACGATTTGTGGACATTTATGTAGAACTTTGTGCGCACCAGCTTGTGATCAGTCCCACATTCAGCTCCACGCATTACCCGCGTTATGCGTACTTCACGCATGTCCCGTTGACGTACGATGACGTAGTCCAGCAAGTGAGCATGACCACTCCGTGGGTGGGTCCATGTAGCAATGTCCCTAGCACACAGAGCAAACTGGGTGTTCGTGATCGTCAAGCCATGTGTAGCACACAATGAAAGCAAGCGCTCTCCGTTCCCATTGACTATCCCAATCCCGTACGGCCCGATCACCTCAGCCCACACTGTGGCATCACACCCTACACGTGCATTGAAGTCACCAAGCAGAAATAGTCGATCATGCATTGGGACAGACTTTATAACAGTGGCCAATTGCGAGTAGTACTGATCTTTCCTGTCTTCTGTATAACTCATGGTGGGACTATATGTGCTAATAAATGTTGCGAACTTACCACGTCTGAGGCATATACGGAGCGACATCAACCGTGGGCTGATACCAATCGGCTCCCCCGTCAAACGGCCATTTAGGCGGTCAGTGATTGCAAATCCGACGCCTTGTTCACGTGGTGCTGCTTCGGGATTTCCAATCCAGTAGAAAGTGTACCCAGCACCATCCTCTCGCAATTTACCTTGATCAGCCAGTCGAGTCTCACTCAGCGCTGCGATATCAATGTCATACCGCGCAAGTTCCATGGCGACTAAAGCGGTTCGTCGCATAGGTCGATGATTAGTGTCCCGATCGTGTAGTGTGCGCACATTCCAGCATCCAACCTTGAGTGTTTGACGTGCTGGTCTGCGGCCACGTGTGGCTCTTGATCTCGATGGCGGAGATATGGTTGGATTTGTCTCGTTCGGGGGTTGAGAGGAAAAAATTGGTTCAATCGAAAAGGGGACTTGGACAGAGGAACGTGGAGTGTTATGGAACCGGGGAACAAGCAAATGATCAATGCCGGTTAAATGTCGCTTAGACAGCCTACAGTGTGTGCGAGATGAGGTGACACCGACACCGACACCGATATTGCTCGCATAACTACGTCGACGCGGGGTGCTATTATGTTGCATTGGACTTCGCATACTCAGTAGCAGCACGAGAATTGTGTGTATAGTGTTACCAAGAAATCTAGTAACTGATCTCAAGGGCTACAAAGAAAGAGATGAGATGAGAGGACACAGAATGATATATAATGCATGTAATGCGTGAAAATGCAATAACATGTGCGAATAAAAGTAAAGATGTATGAAATACAGTGTCACTAGAGCTGTGTTTGTCCAATCGTGGTGCAAGCAGAACAGAGGCCACCATGGAGAATTTATTAACAAGATGAGCAATATGAAGTTAATGACATTGATAACGTTACAAAGGGAGTAAAACTACCATGGAACAGTGATCACTTATCGTTGATGTGTGCTGTAAAAGACGTCTTTTATATTATCTGCAAACTATTCGGGTCTGAAGTTAAGCCACAGCCGGTCCGCTTTTCTCTTCTCCGAGAGGTAAGCGAGAATTCACATGCAGTCAGTCGTGTGTGACTATTTATGGTCCCCTTGATCATCCATTCGCTGCGCTAGCACATATGGACCATTTCATCATTGCTCAGAGTGTGACCTGTGTCCAAGCATTTCGATTCGGATGTCAGATTGTGTTGCCGCTGTCCGTGAATCGAATTTGATGACTCGTCGCAATCTTAGTGTGCAGTACCGAGACACTTGACCTGGCTACATTGACATCAGATTGCACCCCGAAATACTACACAATGTCACACGAGAGGAAATGTAATGTGATCCATCTGTCAAGTGGGAACGTAACGAGACACGAACAGATGTTAGCGGGATTTGTAACTTAAGCGAGTCCCATTTAGACATCGAGCCATCAATCAGATAATGGATTTACGCGAGTGAAAATACCATCAGTCTGTCAGGCTGAAGTGTGGTGTTTATAAATGTTTGAATTGAATGAACGAATAACAGGCATATTCCTCTAGTTTTTTTTTGTAAATCGCACGTAGAATTATAAGTAACCACTAGGACTGTTGATGATTAGATAGCGTTTGGATGTGGACCTAAACGTTAGGCATACATTTATTCAGAAGTGTGGGTATCAACATTAGATTGAGACAGATATGAAAATACGGAAGTAAATGCCATCAGTCTGGTTACCAGGTAGAATGATGCCAATAAATGTATCGTAAAACACAGATAACTTATGATTACGGTGTATTGTAAATGGTGTCTGCTATAAGCGTTAGTAGGCTATAATATCATACATTCTTTAATGGCTTATTGGACGCTATCACAGCACTAACACATGTAGTACATTCCGATGCTCGCTGTTCTACCATCGGCTTTCAAAGGAGTGTGCAAAGTGTTGTATCAAATTTACAAACAAACAAACAACAACAACAACAACAAAAATAACTTGCACAGTATCTATAATTATCTAATATCTCAAATGAGGATGTCGTGGGACACCTGGGCAATATGGTATCTTCACAGCGGGGTTTGGAATGGCACCACTTAGACATGGCTTGAGAAAACAATGAACGATTAAATCTCCATACACATGGTGTGATTTGCTATGAAAACAGTGAGCATTGCAAAGTTAATCATATGAGGGTAGACAAACAATGGGTACCAAGTGCCTGGGCAGGTGGCGCCGATAAGGTGGTTAACTGAACGTATTATATTCCCATGCGACCTGGATTTCTCATCGTAATTTTACCGCTTACATTTTACTAACAATCTGTCCTCATACATCTCGGTTACAGCTATTCTTCGCGACAAATCAATTGTTGCTGTGCTGGATTTATTTTCCAATTAAATATGTATTTAAACACTACCGTAACACCACAGTTTGACTAATCTACTTCTAAGTCAATCTAGATGATTGGTCATTTCCAATTCAAATTGTAGAAGGAACGTTTACTCTCCTGCACCTTATCTTCATAATAGCTGGCTTATCCTAACTTCAGTATGAGCGATGTATAACGGAAAATATACCTACACTCATTCTTGTGACTAATATAGGAAATAGAACATGTAGCATCGACATCAGCATGTTAATCGCGAGTCAGTGACTTGCCGGGAATATTCAGCTTACACGTACGAGCCAACGTGTGGACACTTGCAACAAAATTTGTTGGGTCTTGAACACCGAAGTTCCACACTGCATTCCAAAGCGAGGAATAGTTGTAGGGTACTTGAACTCCAGGAATAATTGTTGATCACTACACCCAATTGTTCAATCCAATGTACGAACAAGTGTGGAATATTGTAAGCAGCAACCGCTTGGTACCCAGGAGTTAACGCGACCCATGTATATATATATATATATATATATATATATATATATATATGCATTATGTGATTGTCTCGCTTCGTTATTTGATCAAAGCCAAAATGTGTGACCAACACGTTGAGGTTTGGTAGCCAAGTATGATTCTTTTATCCTAATGAGACTAGATAGGCCCATTGGATTGTGAACTTAAATGCATCTATAAGGAGCTAAAGGCTGGATCTTGTATTTTCCGACAACGCATCAGACCGTTCTCGCATGGGGACAGATCAACTGAGTTAAGTAGGGCCCGTAGCCGATGGACGGAACAGAGCATTCTGACACAGTATGGAACAGTTTAATGAATGCTCCCTACGTTACAGTAGTTAGAAATCTCGAAACGAAAAGCCAGTGAAAGAAGGTAGGTAAGACAAGGGCGTTATCAACCAATATTGTGAGCTCCAGTGTTCACGACGAATACTCAACTGCATACGTTACACCCCTTACTTCCCTGTCAAAGACTGCAGACTCCAGGTTGATAACGATCAACTGCCTTAGGCATACGGTTGAGCGTCTTAATTGAGTTTGTTCCGCATCCGTTTGCAGTTCCTGGTTTGTTAGGCGGATTCTCCGTCCGTTTTTGCGTCAGTAGCAGTCGCTTTTTGATCCCGCTCCTGTGGTTCATTTGAACGGGGCGGCATATGGTCAAAATGGCGGCGCATCACATGACCATCCTCCAGCCTTAGCTCTGCTTGGTTACTCATTGAGGACCTTGTCAACTTGCATTGTGAGACAGTATTTTATGTACCGGATCAAAATCATTGACGCATTTTCTCTGGTATCTTGTTATCCTTACACATCTGCTGCTACTTTGCCTCCATTCTCCTTTGAGGGTTCAGAAAAAGCAGGTGCAGTTCTGTTTATAATGGTCGGCCAAACGTTAACTCCGTGGGTGATTTCCTTGTCAACTCAGTCGGTGTCGTGTTGTAAGAGAACGGGAAAAGATTCAACTTAGTTTGTAGAGTTCCATGAGTCTGCTTGAGGAGACTTTGCTTAGCAGTCTAGACGGCGCGTTTTGCCATCTCCTTCGACGCTGGATGGTACGGCACAAACTAGAGTTGCTTCATTCTCTTGTTACTCAGAAACTGTTGAAACTCTTCACTAGTAGATGGTGCCCTGATCTCGGTATATACCGTCTTTGGAATACCGAACATCTCGAACATGGGGCCTAATTTTGCAACTGTTGCTGCGGCAATCTCGTGGACCTGGATGCACTTCTGTCCATTTAGAATGCGCAATCATCCGTTTGGTCGGACCAAACTAGTCGGCGTGTGCCCGCTGCCAGGGTCTTTCCAGCCAAGGTCATGGAGATAACGGTTCGAGCGAATTTTGTCTTTGGTATTTTAGATGTTGTTTGCAATTTTTCAGCAACCGCTCCATATTCTGCCCATCGTTCGGCCGCCAAGAGTAACCACGTGCCAGCACTTTCATTCTCTTCACGTTGGGGTGTGCGTCCTGCAGCTCTCTCAGTAACTGGCTACGTAGTTCGTCTGGTGGAACTATGCGCGAGCCCCTAAAGGTACAGCTGTCGTATAGACTCAACTCATTACAAAGAAAGGAGAATGGTTTCAGTTCGTCTGACATGCTTGCAGGCCATTCGGTCCTCAAGTAAGGTTTCAGCATCGACAGCACATCCGGCAAGCGCCGGACCGGCTCCATCTGGATAGGTGCCTTTTCAAGGTATTGGATCACATCGAAAATCTCCATTGGTTCACTGTTCGTTTTTGTGCCATGCTGCTGCGGGAAGCGACTAAGTGCGTCGGCAGTGGTATTACATGGTCCGTTGACGTACTAAAGTTGGTAGTTATGGGCCCTCAAAACTATCACCCAGCTTTATATTTGAGGCGAAGACATCTGTCGGATTCCTTTCTCCTCACCCAGCAGCGAAAGAAGTGATTTATGGTTCTTTTGGATATCGAACTACTTTTCCCAGAAATATTGGAGGAAATGATTGACTCCGAAAATAATCGCAAAGCCTCTCTGTCCAATATGGAGTAATTGCTTTCAGCGGGTTGTAGGGTACGAGAAGTAAAAGCGATTGGACGAACAATACCGTCATCCGTTCGGTAGCAAAGGACTGCGCCTACTCCGCGTGTGAAAGCATCACATTGCAGCACTAGAGGACGGCTCGAATCGAAAAGCATAAGATACGGTGAGGCACTGAGCAGTCTTTTCGCATCTGTGAAGCCTTTTCTTTGATCGGGACCCCAAGTCCAGGACGTCTTCTTGTGTAACTGTTCGTACAAGGTTCCAAATACTGTTGAGGCGTTAGATACGAAGCGAGGATAGGGAAAAATATCGTTAACATGATCGGAGTGCAGTTTTCTTTTTGGGTTCAAGTAGACAAGGATGGGCTTGAATTTGTCTTCTAACACGTGTAATCCGTTTTTGTCGAGACGGTAACCAAGGTAACGAACAGAATCTGAGAACAGTGTATTCTTGGACTTCTTCCGTTTGAGATCACTCAGTTATAGAGTTTCGAGTACGTTGGATGACGTTTGTAAAGGTAATGCATTTGTAGTCCTGTGATCAGAGTGTCGTCCAGCTAGGCGCAAGTGTAAGGAATATCTTTGAGCAGGTTAACAATGATCCTTTGGAATATAGCCAAGTCTGAACTGATTCTGAATAGCAGGCGTTTGTGCTGGAATAGACGCTTGTGTGTACTTATCGCAGGGCATGAGCAAGAGACCTCGTCTAACTCAATTTGTAAGCACGCGTGATGAGGCCGATCTGTGTGAAATTTTGTTCGACTACCAGCGGAGCGTACAGCTCCTCTATCTGAGGTAAAGGTTATTTATCCAGAATTAAACGAGTACCATTTCGTTTATAGTCACCACAAATACATACAGAACCATCCGACTTCAGGACTGGAATTATCGGAGCTTCCCACCCACTGCATTAGACTGGCTTGATTGTTCATATTGACTGCAAGCTCTTTATCTCGTCTTCCAGGTTTGATCGCAGGGAATAAGGTATGTGCCCTGAAAATGTGGGGCTGAGTTCCCAGCCATGATTTGATACTAGCCTGATATCCATTCAATTTTCCCAGTGTGGCATCAAAAACCAGAATATTTGTGGAGCACATCTTCCAAGCTCTGGTTAATGAACCTGAACTTCACCGTCTCTATCGTAGTCTGCAGGCATTTAATTTAGTCGCGCCCGAGTAAGTTTGGACAACGATTCGTCACGACATATGCCTGTAAGGTTCGCTTCTCCCCATGATAATTAACATAAACAGTGCATTTTCCCAGGGCTGGTATCGGCTACCCGGTGCACGTTCGCACAGTCGGTTCACAGGAGGATAACTTGGGTAATCTTTTAACTGATGCAGCACTGATTATCAAAATGAGGCACCGACATCAACTTCCATTTTAAATAACTAGCCTTCTATTTCCAATTGCACAGGGTAGAATGGATGTTACGGACGCGCGAGGTGGCGTCCCAAATTGAAGTTAGCTGGTCAGCTTCGTCTGAAGACTGGACGACCTTCACGGGCTTCTTCGGAAATCGGGATGTCTCACCTGTGCCAGTTTTAGGTCGACAAACTCGGGCCAAGTGTCCTAATTTTGCACATTGGCGGCAGATACTCTGTTTATGGCGACATTCCTCGGCCGATAAATGCTCATTACCACATCGGGAACAGGTATAAGGCAATTCGGACCATCTCACTGTAAGACTTTTTGGTCGGTCGCTTGTAGTGTGCCCGTATGAGGTTACTGGAAAAGCTGCTAACTGTTTATGAACATGCTCCATTCGCCGAACAATATTGCAGACCTTCTTCCGGCTCATTGCAGACGCATCTTCGGACAACAGCCTTTCATGAGCCTGTTCGTTAAGTATATCGGAAATCAAGCACTGTAAAGGTATGGTCTCTTCGAACTTCGGGGCTGCAATTTCACTATGCCGACTTGCTGAATTTTCGCAATGCAGTCAATGAAACATTCTTCAGGATTTTGATGCAAGCTCGAGGAAGAATACGGCGCAGAGCATGTGTTCATTCGTGAATTCAATAATCCGCTGAAGACTTCTAGTGCGCTGTTGACCGTCGCTTTCTCACCGACATGAAGGACTTCCAAATGTCTTTGTCTTTCATCCCCCATGATGCTCGTGTGTTCGATTTTCGAGGATCGCAGGGCTACATTCCAATGATTGGGACAGAGATAGAATGCGGAATATCTAGCCTGGCTTGCAATACTTTATTAATTAGCTGATCACACAGCGAACACTAAACACCTGCAAAACTAGGAGCATAACTGTAAATGACAGATTCTCTTCACTTTAGCAGATCATGAGTAATTAAACTGATTCGACGGTGCTCAAAAATAAACAAGTTTCACTACATTTGAATGCAAAGGATGCGTTTTTCAGGTAGCTAATTAATATTTGGTCTGCAAGTCTTTTGCGCAAATTCCTTATTTGTATCGATGAACCATGATTGTCTGCCTATATATAACATTCCTGAACTCCGAATTGTCCATCGGTAGTCGTCGCAATAGTAACCCACGATTGTTTAAGTGTGCTAACAGTGCGCTGTGGCCTAGGTGTGTGCTGACAGGTAGCATAAATACTTCGCGCTGGTCGATGATGTGCACTTGGACTTGCACACGTAAGCCGTCCACTTGAACTATTTGATTTCTGACTCTTCAGACACTCATACGCATTAAAGCAGCTTGTGCGATATTTGGTTTGTGGTTTAATTTGTGTGACAGTTTCACGTATCTTGTGGTTCTATGTAATAGACAATTTAGCTTGGAATCTTAGTCCAAAGGTTGGTTTTTTATATCTGGTCTCATGTTATTTCGGCTTGGTTTAATGGTAATAGACATTGAAGCATTGTTACTTTCTCACCAATTCGAAAGGTTAAGAGTAACCGTAGTCACCGCACCAAAAAATACGTCTAATGGTCCCGAACGATAATCTCCGAACAACAAACAAAACTGCTCACTTTTTCAATTTCAGTATATACTCGATGGCCTATTACGGTGGCATTGAAGGGTAAGTTAAAAGTGAAAATTTTCAAAATTTTTGAGACCTTAACGAGCACTGGTTAGCGTTTTAAAGTAGATTGAATTCTGTCACACCCATTGTTAGCAACGTTTCCCTCTTCGATTAGACGTCCAAAAGAATCCATGACGCATCCTCAAACAATTCGATTGTTCAAAGTTTATTCGAGATAAGTACACATTCTTGTGTTTAGCCCTAAACACTTGCACCCAACGGGATCACCATCATCTCTGTTAGGGACGTTCAAGTAGATGTACCCTTGATGCGCTTTGAAAGAGCTATTTTGTTGCTCCATTGCAAGTGATGCCGTTTAGTATTTTACCAGGAATTCATGAATGAAAAGTGCTATCAGACTATGGTTCTCCAAAGAGCTCGGTCAAGAGTGAAACCGGCGGTGCGACCATTGTTGAGGCCAGGAAGCTGCAGAATTGCCTCTCCATTTCTGCGCGCTACTTACGTTCACCCAGTTGATGGTATAATGCCGCACTGAAGCCTACTGAATTGGGTTTCGATTTCTAATTGCTTAGTCAATGTTATTTTCATTTTTATCAGCGGAACTACTGGCTCTCGAATGGTACTTCTGAATGCTGAAGGCGCGCAGGTCGGCTACTCAGAAGGTCCGCATACAAATTATTGGGTAAGCAGAACGCAGTACACTACAGCTTTGCGTGTCCCTTCAGCCATATTCTAAAAAAACATGGGCAAAGAAGCATTTTATCACAAATACCAGTGTTTCCGGGGTGCAAACTAGCTAAATTTATAGTCTGAAATCCCCGTGCTGTTTAACGCCTGCTGATTTGGCTGCGTGCCAACTTGTAAATGAGGAGGACCTGAGCTTTGGTATAATTAGTTTACTTGATCATAGTTTCGCGATAATGTTTCATGAAGTGAAATAAGGCTTAATGCACTGCCGTTACACGAGATACAGACAGACTTGTAGCATTCCATGAGCACACTTCGTAAGAATCACACGAAATAATCCATAAGTTATGTACCTCAATACATTTGTTGCCTGTCTAACACGACGTGTTAGATAAAACTTATGGTGCAGTCTTGTATAATTCACGAGAACATCTAAATATCCCAAGATGATTGCATTCATTTCTTAGATCAGTTCACTGATATTATCGTAGCAGCTTCATTGCTTAGATGCGCTTAAATCCACTATAGCGGCATTCCCACCCACATTCCAATAAGGCAAGCTTGAGTTAACCCAAACTAGTTGTGAAGTAATCGTTACATCTGCTTCGATATTACTACTTCTAACCTAAGCGCGTTACATTTCGTTCTTCTTAAAGCACATAGGAATGCAAGAGGCAGCAAGACGTGTTGTGATGCTTACGGAGGACGCATTGGTTAGCGCTGGTCTGCCAAAGGATACCAAACTGAAATCGTTGGTAAGTTCCGATTAAATGAAGTGCTTTAGGCCAATTTTGTGTTGTGATGCGGTTTAACTCAAATATTTTACTGAAAATGCTTCGTTGATCGCCCAGTGATAGCAGCTCGTCGAGAAAACGGGATGAAGAATGAACAATGATTTATCACGAGATAAAAGCAAGTGCTTGACATGTCCCGTAGGATGGTTGGGGGAATATGATGAAATCAAAATATATCTGAATCATCTTCCGGACGTCTGTCTAGATGAATACTTCGATAAATTACAGCAGTGTGAAATTTAAAAAATCGAGCGTAAACTTCAGAAATACACTGGAGTGCAGTGATCGTTGATGTAAAGCTTGAAAAAAGTAAAATATGGTCGTTCACTTTGGTCCATTTGATACATAAATCCTGTTGAAAAGCATGCTTGGCGTAATCCACAATACAGAAGTTTACGTAACCAAATGCTAAGAGCCAAGTACAACATCTAATCGTAGATGGAAGCACTTCTTTATGGAACGACGGTATGGTACTGTGCTGCTGAAGCGCTAGGTAGACAACAGGATAAAATGCGGTCCACACTATTCGAAATGAAAGCTGTTTCACTAGCTCATGCGCAGAATTTCGAATTTTTTAATTTTTTTATGCCTCAGAAGAAAATTCACCCTAAGATTGCCTCCTCCTTGCTGCCCTTATAGGGACTAGCTCTGAGCGGCGTGAACACAGAGCTCAATCAATGGCAAATCACCGATGCTGTCCGCTCTGTGGCACCAAATATTGCCGACAAGATATACGCATGCAACGACGCCGTGGGAGCCCTGGTTACTGCAACTGATGGAGGTGGGCAAGACTCTATACATCGGCATAAAACTAGTGTCACTTAGTTAAAGCCATAAGTAAACCGATGTACAAAGCTTTATAGATGAATATTGTAAAAGACTGCTTCTAGTGATACAATTAGCTCACTGTCTCTCTACCTAAATTTTAGACGCAATGGTGTTGATATCTGGCACTGGTTCAATCTGTGCATTGATTCGGAAAGACATGACCCTAATTCGCATTGGGGGGCTGGGTTACCTTCTCGGTGATGAGGGATCAGGTAAGTTAAGAATATCACTTATTTTCACTAAATAGCTTTGATACATCAAGAAAAAGAAGTTTGGATGTACCTGAGAGATTCAGTCGGACCACGAGGGTGCTTTCTTTTCTAGTCCCGAGCCTCGGACCGCATTTTAATAACATGACTCCTTTATACATCTACTTGATTTAATTTGATCTACATACGGGCTTGAACACACAGCAGAAATAAGGAGCAACATGTAACCAACCTTGTCACCATGGCGACCTAACCCTTCAGAATGAATGCCTCTTACCTATATGCACCAATCCTTCCACCTTGTTATGTTCAAGACGGTAAACACACGCGAACAGTAAAGGAGTTGCTGTGCTACTAACTCAGGCCTATCTCAAGGAAGCGATCGGTGCTGAAACTTCACCATGTCAGCCTGTTAATTTGACGATAATTTTATCAAGCTGACTGAGTGTAGTGGCAGAACAATTAATGGTTAGAACACAGCGAAATCCGTGTAAAATGGCATCCAAGTGGGGTGGCCTGAAAACAGACTTTATTCTCACCACTCTTCTTAGCATGCACAAGGTGTTACATGGGTTACTGCCCAGCACTCTGTAATGGTTGGCGACATCGGGTTCTGGAGTTGCTTGTCACTGGGGCCTCCATAGAGACAGCCACAGGAGGCCTACGCCTACCGAGGGACCATGGGAGACTTGCGCTGCGCCAGCGACAGTTCCACCCACACACCCGATATCCGGTGTATACCCGAAGGAATAAGACCTGGAGGCATGTTTATGTGAGCCATGTTTCATCAACGGAGCATACCAACACTCCTTCAGAAGCACAGTAGCAGCATGCCTTTCTACGTATTTGGGGAATCATCCGTACCGGACGTACACAATGAGGTGCTTGGGCCGTAGCCCGCTCAAAACTGGATGAAAGCATTCTTTGAGGATCGTGCACCCCTCTCTCCAAGCAACGACCAACTGTCTGCTGTAGCCAGTTTAATCGAGGTAGTGGTTTTCAACAGGTAGGCACCTTGTTAGCAGTCACATCAAGCGCAGCCGCACCGGGGATATCAAACAAACAGAATAGCATTTGAAGGGAAGCATGCCATATTGACACAGGATTTGCAGCAAAGTAACAAAACTGGACCAATCAAATAACGTAGCATGCTTTTTATCCTGGTTAAGATTTTGTTTAAGTGTGCCGGTGCAGCACAACTGGGATGAAGAAGCATCATGTACACAACACCAACCGCAGAATATATAAGTGTCAGAGGTCTTCAGATAGACCTGACTCCGTAAGAAGATTACGCCTTATTGCAATGCCGTTGCAAATGTGTTATGAAAATCCTGGTTTTATGTGTTGATTGGGCAACCACAACACGAGATTTCAACCACACTTAGCTGACTTTTGTCCCAGAACATGGTGTGTTCAATGTATTTTTGTGAATGCTATGACATAACTTGTCAGACACAAACTGTTGTCTTCCAAGTGCAAAAGACATCTTCTTTCTTTTCACAGCTTTTTGGGTCGCACACCAGGCTATCATGTCTTATATAAAAGTGACAGAAGGGTTTCATCATGTACGACATAGCATGATACGGTTAGCCGAAGCGATTCGCATGCATTTCAAAATCAGGCGACACGACGAATTATTGGCCCACTTCAACGAGAATATCGACAAAACCTATATAGCGCAGTTATGCTACCCGCTTGCTCAAGGTAGGTCTCAAAATAGCTGCGGTTAAATATTGAACTATGGATAGAAAAATAACTGTTCATTAAACTTAACTCACTGCTGCGTTGTTTCGTTTCAATCCCGCTTACACAGCCGCTCACGAAGGAGACCAATACTGCATAAAACTCTTCTACAATGCCGGAGTTCATTTGGGAAGACATGTGTCGGCAGCCGTACGTCACGCCGATAAGGTAACTAATTTATTGTTCACGTTAGCAACATCTATCTTGTGGCTGTCAGTTTCACACTAGTTCAAGCTGATGTATGCCAGGTAATAGGCTAAAAAAGCGTTCACTTCAGACATGCTGACCATGGTCTATACCTTTTCTCTGCCAATGGAACCCGTAGTGCTTTCAAATTCCTCCTTAAGGAAATTTCGTTGCTCCGTAGCTATTTCAAGATGGTCCAAAACGTCTTCAAGTTGAAGCCAGCGGGTTCGAACGTTTCTAAATGCTATGGTCTATTGAGGAACCAAATCCAAGTCAAACAAGATCATCCCACTCTGCGTGCTCATCTGTTATATTCTGTTTATTTGAGCTTGGTCACTCAACGAACAGCACGCAAGTTTTAGGAGTGCCTTCTCCCGTTGGATTTGACTTGAAAGCGTTGTGGACCATCTTGAAAAAGCTATGGTGGGGCATAATTTCCTTAAGGAGGAAGTTGAAAGCTCTACGGAATCAGTTGGCTGGGGAAAGGTATAGTTCATCAAATGAACAACTGGTAGCAAGCATATAATGGTTAACAAGCTACAATCGACATGCGCCGATTGGCCATCAGATGGAAGCCATCGGACACGTTAGAAAAGACAAGTCACACTTTAATGGGTATAAGCAGAATGACGCTTTCTACTTGCCTGTGATGCGGTCGTTCTACTCTCCTCGTTGTTTCGCAGCACGTGTAGATGGTGGATAGCAAGTACAGGGATTGGAGGTGATGGAGAAGAACGAGGATGCTGAATGACCAAACAAATGTGACTAAATGCGTCGTCCAACCGACTTTATGATTAGCGTTGGTGCACCGTGTAATACACGTACTATTGTTACGTAACCAACTAGAACATTTATGTATTGGTGACAGAATCCGTTTTCTGACATCGAATTTTCCATCACTAGAATTGAGTGGCAACATGATGGTCTATATACCCAACCGTAATGGCAACACATCTCGTCCCACTTTGCATTTCAGGAGGGTCTTATTGGACCAGAGGGCATTGATGTAGTGTGTTGTGGGTCCGTCTTCAAAAGCTGGAGTTTGCTGGAAGCGGGTACGTAAAATGTTTGAGACTTTAATTAGGTACCGGAATCCACTCTATGTTGCTAAAAACTTCATAACCAACCAAATATTTAGATTAAACTATTTTCATTGTTAAAATTTACTTGCCTATAGACCTAAGTGATTGTGCAAACCCTCCATTTTTATATTTAATGATTAGATTATGTGTCCTACGTTTTATAGGTTTCTACGCTGGTTTGAAACCCAAACACCGTAACGACTGTCGACGTGGCCGCATAATCCTTCGTCTCTTACAAAAGACAGCTGCTATCGGTGCGACTATTTTGGCCGCCAGGTTAGAACTGGGTGTTAACCTTCCGCGGCCCGATAACGTGACCAATGTGCTTTGTGAAATCGATCTGGAAGAACAGGATAAACGAAACAATTAATGAAACTTGCCTCCGGTCAGTAGAACTATTACAAGTTTTTCCTACCGTTTCTACGACGAGTGCTCGGTATTATGCATAGTGTAAAGAAACCAAGTCTTTCGACGGTGTACAACTGTAATTGGTATTTGTAACTTATGCACACTTCAATATCACTACCTCGAGTTTTTGAAGGCGGACAACATTTTATTTGGCGGCACGAAAATTGCTTTTTTGATTTTCGCTCACTGCCCTACTTCGTAAAGGTTCATTATGAAATGCAGCCCTCAGTTTGGCAACCAATGACGAAACATGATTCCATTTGGTTGTATTCTATTTGTATTTTCATTAATTCATATAGTTTAAGTTACTGAATGGGTGCAAAATGGGACCAAACTCAGCTTCTCTGTCTGCGGTGGCATGTTAACAGTTGGAGAGGAGACATACATTATAGACCGAAATACGTTATTCAATCTACATTGTAAATGGGTAAATGTGGTGCCGGGTAGCAGTGACATGGTACCACTAAAATCAGGGGGTTAATAACACTAAGCAGGGAAAGCATATTGGTACAAAGCACCTTCTCACATGGGAATGCGTCAAAACGACGTTCGGATCCCATTGCATGACTATTGTAAATGGTGTCCATCAGTCTGGGCCTATTTCTAAGCCACATTTAAAAATTGCATTGTTAACAACATTCCTGGAACTACAGTGTCAGCGGAGTGGAAGTCAGGGAGAATAAGTGAAAAGAAACAAGCTTAGAAGCTAATAAGTAGAGAGGGATACTGAGTGGGAAAAGCAGGATAAACGGACCGGGTTAAAAATATAAGCTTATCTTTTTGTCCGACATATTCTTCTCATTAACTTAAGAACATTGTCATGTATTTTTGTTTGTCGCAATCAGCCGACAATTCAGATATGTCGACCAGCTGTCCGGAAAAACACCAGACGGCCGTTTCACCCTATTGGGGCTCATCAATGGTGCGCATCCTTCGGTACTCTGCGGAGGATCGAACCCATGACTGCTAGTGGCTCTTGCCAACTAGCCCGCAGCTTGTGCAACTGCGCCATGGAGGACGGTATCTGACTATCGTGAATTGTTAGCTAAATGCGATATAGCCCGACACATCCTCCACTGCCATGCAGGCACCTGCCATGCAGATGACAGCGGTCGGCCTTCCGGCGTCAGGACTTCCCGGTTACGGCAGCTATGAATCGACATAGCATTTTGTGGAATCCGTACGGGCGAATTGGTATTACTCATAAGTAATACTCACACTTTAAAGATTAAGAACGCCACCAGCCGTAAACCTACCTGATGAGAGAACGCTACAACCACAGCTGCTGACTGTGGCTTCAAGGTGCAGTGGCAGATAACATGGCTTTGCAAAGTGAACAGCACCGGATTTCAGAAAGTTTGAATACAAATCGGTTTTGGTAGGGTTTTGTTGTGGCAACGTTTCGCCCTTAACACAAGTGCTTCTTCAGACCAGGTGAATCGTTACAAAAGAAGAAGCTCTTGTGTCAAGGGGAAACGTTACCGCAATAATACCCTACAAAAACCGATTTGTATTCAAACCTTTTGAAATCAAGAAATCCCAGTCGGTTCCAAGCATATTTTGAGATATTTAACAACTCCTGCTTCCTGAGAAGAATTTAGACGCCTATCGTTGATTAGTGGTGTATCAGTTGTTATCAAATTGGATGAAAGTAGAGTTTGGTGGGCACTATCTACTTAAACTTTACCAACCGTAGGGGAAAGAGATAAGGCGAAAGAGGTTAGTGAGATGTGTCAGGTAAAATTCGCTTTCCTGGAGGGGCGCCGAAAGCTGTTTAGCTCGGGGAACGAAGGAGCTTCACAAGAGCGTTGCAGGTTGTGTAGCTACTATACGAAGCATAGACAAATTAATCGCACCAGACGGGATAAAAAACCGTAAGCTATTGAAGCTATACTTTTCGCACGGTCTGGGAAGAACAAATAAAACCTAATTTCCGGTCACCGTAATTTTATCATTCAAAGCACAGACAATAATATACTCATAAATAAGCTTGCAATCATAAATAATAAGGGCGGAAACTGGAAGAGATTCGGCGGCGTGTGGAAACGGTACAGTGAAAAAGTGTGCTAATCGGTAATCAGTCAAAGATGAACTAACTGACCTTGAAAAGCAAATGATATACCATTGGTGCGAAGGAAAAACGTCAAGTGTTCAATAATACAAGTGCTCGAAGCAAACGTGTAAACTGTACCAAATAGTGAATAGGGCTATTATGTCATTAACTAGGTGATCTAGTTTGGCTGAATACTCTAAGTTCTGTTCGGACTTTACAGGAGGCATGCGTCTTTAAGTCGCAGGAAGTGTCAACGAGTATAATTGAAGTAAACGATGTTCACTCTTCAACGGTGCATAAAGCTCATTGTGTACATGACTTGACTTTACACAAGTACGTGTAAAGAACGAGATTAAATGTCAGGAATATTTTGCGCAACCTACTATAGTCATACAATGTAACGATGGAGTAATGGTGCATTATGGGTAAAAAAACTAATGTTTGACAGGTCGTGTGGAAAGGAAAGAATTGTGCAAATATGACGATAAGATGAAAAACGCTTTGTTGGACTCACCAGTGTTCGAACTGACACATGCGTAAAAGAGCGGAGATGTTCACATAATAATAATCATAACTCCACCTGATTGAAATTTTGGAAACACACCGTTTGGTTTTAATATGTATTCTCCTGTATCACACAAACTATAAGTTGGAATGCGAATGGGACAGTGCTTCGACAAGCAGTTTTTTAATGCGGTTAGCTTGGTGGCAGAAACAACATAAATTAAGAGAGCGCTCCACGGCTGATTCACTCCAGGGAAGAAGAAATTCCAACCTCATTCCTGCTGTATATAATGTGTTCTTAGATTTAACTGATGACCTCCCACGTTAGCGTTGATGTTTAGCCTTAGCAGCCGGCGTCAACCGTGGTTTAGGTCTTTCAGGATCCAGTATACCATTATGAGGTCTACCTACAAGCGCCGTTACCGATTAGTGTACATTCCTAGAAACTTCAGTCTAAGCTGTTAGGGCAGATGAAAGAGACCCCTTACTTTCTTGAATGCCTTTCGTTGAGGGGTCTCAAGAACAAAACGATCGTGTTTCTGCCACGATTGCCACTTGCGATCACACATAGGCATTAAGCAGTTGTTTGGGGATTGCGGGGTCTAATCGACCGAACGCTCCGCGCTGAAGGCTTAAGTCTTGATTACAGGTTCTCGACGCATTCCCTGATTGTTTCTCTCATCCGAGATCATCCTGTAACGATGCGCCCAGGTCACTCTCCTGAGTGGCGTACTGCAAAGTGTGCTCTCCAAATTGGTACACCCTCACCACTTGGTGACTTGGGGACTATGTTTATCTGGAGTATGTTCCTCATTGGCCACTCAGGAAAACAATCCAGATCAAGTTGGAAAGAATGGTGATGAGAAATGCTATTAATCGCTCGCTGGACTTTAATATCGTCGGCGGAAAGTAGGAAATGCGAGGCGATACCACTTGCAAGGTCGCTGCTAAGCACCAGGAATATGCGCGGTCCTAGCACTCAGCTCTGTGGAAAACTACATTGCATCGCAGTCTGGTTGAAGAGTGAACCCTATCATGCACTTGGATCCTTCGTCGACGAATAAAGTCCCTGATCCACCTAAGAACAGGATCACCAATTTCATAGTTCTGTAATCAGTGAAGTAGGAAGCAGTGATCCGGGCGATCGAGAACTTTGGAATGTTCGGGTGGATAACGTTGATTCCTATTCCACCATTGGCCGCTTCTGTCCGGCTACCTCGTACTGTTGGCGGTTTGTGACCAGTGTTGACGGAAGCCTTGCTGCTCCGGTTCCAAGATGACCCGCTACACCGTGTATTCGGGGAGTGTTGCCACTAAAGTAGCTTGCAATGCCGCAGATCGATTTAGTAGTGAACACGTTCAAGGAAAGTAAGCAGATTCACTAACTGAGGTATTCGGGCTAAAATCTTGCCACCCTTGTTAAACGACAATGTAATCGGTAAAATTCAAGAATCGGATCAAATTTATGTTCCTGCTTCGTATTTACAGTCCATAAAATGCGCCTCGCGCTTTTTAGACTACTTCATGTTCTACGCTGCATTTTCGCAACTGGGGTTTGAATAGTATTAAGTTAAATAAAGTTGGCTGAGTAAATTCTCAACGGTCATTAGGGTACACAGAAATTAAGTTGGATATTTTTCAATGCGCTACCATTCTATAAGTATTTGGGGGCAGCAGTCACAGAAGATACGACGACACCCATTACAGAAGTGACAAACGTAGTGCACTACTCTGCAAAACTTATGGAACGAAACTGCCGAATTGAGGGAAAAGTCAAAAAATATCAAATTTTCCACAGTTATTTAGGATTCTTGTGTGCTTCCACAACCTTTTTACATTTTTATAGCATCCGTCCATCTGCCTAGCTTTCTCGACCAAAGTGCAGGGCTTCTACTTCACTTACTTTTAAGAACCAGGTAAACGTGGAAGAAAGTTCTGCTTAAAATGCTTGGTTCCACAGGTGAGTGCCAAAGGAAACGGATAAAATGTCTGTCACGTACATGTTTTGGACAAATTGTGCTGATGAATTCACCCCTCTTATCTACCTCCTTATAAACCCCAGAAAATAAGGTTAAAACGAAAGTCGTTAAAACGTAACTGTTAAAAAGCACAATATGAATAGATCTTCCCAGTGAATGGTGGCAAGTTTCGCCACTTGAAATGCGTTCTATATTCGATCTAACATCATATAGTAATCCTACTGTCCTCAACTAAGTTGTCCTCATGGGGTTATTCCGAGCACGCAATTAGTGAGTCTGCGAATTTTAGAAAGCGATGATGTAAAACGACGTCAGCGACATTTCGTTTAACCTTCGGATGCCGAACACACAGCATGAACGCCCAAGTTTTGCCCAATTGTCTCCGCTAGAGAATTTCAATGTTGCTGGCGTACCTGCACTGCGGATAGTGGACAAGGATGGTGAGGTTAGTTTGGCCTAAGTGCTTGTTCAGCACAGTAGTGATGAACTGGATCTCGCGACATTTGTTGATGAAACAGGCTGCGCGATGGGTTTGGTGTAGTCACAACAGAAATAAGGCAGTCCTTTTGTTGACAACCAACTTAGAGGTATGTTTACGTTACCGAAACGGATGACCGAGTTAAACTTAACGATCCTTGTGAATAGCTACTTGGTACACCAGAGTACAAATGGCGCTGCAGTATATGTTCTCATACAGACTGTATGGTAGTCAATTGAATGTCTGGGTAATTACC